AGTCAACAATTTTGAAAACTATTTAGCACAAAGACACCATTTTTTTAAGATAATGTCAAGTTGTATGGGTCTCTGGGGTATTTGATACTGTCTTGTATATTTGCTTTTAATAATAATCTGTATTGCCAATAGTTACCTAGTGTGGGTTATTTTCATAAATAATACCCATCAAGCCTAAATGTCTAAATAAGTTCTGGCTCTTTCTAATCTTAACTTTTCCCTTTTTTTTTTTTTTTTTTCCTTTTCTCTCCTATTACTGCATTCTTTCCTGATTCTTTCTACATGATCTCAAAGGACTACCATCTTGCTTTATTATTCAAGGTACTTCCATATTTTACCACACATGCTGTGTTTGGGACTAAAAAATGATAATTATGTTTCATCTCATGTAAATAATCCTTGACATTACACAGTAAACTAGTTAAATTTAAGTTGCAATTTAAGTTCTGACGCTCAGAATTATCACCTAAATCCACAGCATATGTATTTGAGCAGAGGTTAATGAAAAACTATAACCAATGAAAGAAAACTCTAAGTCTCTTGGTTATTTCAAGAACCAAAGTATTTTCATGAAATATTTTGTCAACCAGTGTTTGAGTAATAAAGCACAGTCTAACAGAAAAAGTGTAGACTTGTTGGTAGAAGGTTCTCATGCAGATAAGACACCACAAGATAGTGCCAGGAAGGGACTACTTTGAAAGAGAAATCATTCTACATACCTAACATAGCCTCTCAGACTCATAACAACCCTACAGCATGAGTAGAACTGGCCCTCAGGGTTTCCAAGGCTGTAAAGCTTCACAGAAGCAGACTATCTATCACAACCTTCTCTTATGGAAAGCCAATAACCTTTCCGTTAACAACCTGTGTTTAACCACTGTGTCAGCAGGACTCTTATGAATTGGCATAGACTTTATGGCAGTGGGTTAATATAGCCTCTGAAGGAGCCCTACTGGCAGAGTAGTTAGGCACTGTCCTAGTAACAAAGGTTGACAGTTTGAATCCTCTAACTGCTCTGTATGAGAAAAGACCTGATGATTCGCCCCTCTTAGGGAAACCCTATGGGCCACTTATACTTTGTCATATTCAATGTCATATAACAACAAAAAAAAATATTGCCTCTATTTGCCAGTTGCTTATATAGGTTTAGTCATTGTTCTTCCACAAAATATGTAATTTCTTTCATAATTATTTTCCTATTAAATGTAGTTCAGAATCTTTAGATAAGTGAGGCCTTCTAGCACTCTTGGATTTCTGAGTGTTGGAGCAGATTTTCAATATCCTGCTCTACTGTACTCCCTTCCATCTAACAGAATACACTTGCCTCCCAGTGATAAGTTGCTTCCGAGTCTAGCTGATGTTCCTTTCCACCACTCTCTTAGATATGACTTCCATTCCTTACCCAGGGAACCAGGCCAAGGCCATTCTCCTGACCTGTATGAAGAACCTTTGCACTGCTGCTAAGATATACAACCAAGCATTATTAAGTGCAAGAAATGATGCATAGAGGGAAATCTCTATACCAGTGTAAAATAAGAATGGGAGAAGAAAGGAACACACTATTGGGGGGAATAAAATAGAATGTCAGATATTTACCAGTAGAACTAAAGGCCTGGGCTAAGTAGCTAGAAAAATCCAGTGATTTCACACTTTGCTGTTTGTAGGTTTGGGAGTCACATACCTTTAAACTTAGGGGGTTGTGTTATTTTCAGGGACATAGTCTCCAAGGTCAGTGCTTGGGTAGAAACCCCTTTATTATTAAACTCCTGCTGCTGCCTTTGGTTTAATGATTCTGATCAGTTATTATTTGACTGCCTGTAAGAAATGGGGTTCAGTGTCCATTCAAGCACACAGCTGATGGCTGTTGGTGACAGAGGTGGTGCCTAACCTCTAGATCTAACTTCATCCCTCTCATCCTCTCCCCACTGCAGGATTCAGGACACCCCTGCACAGCAACAGACCCAGACAGCTGCTTCATGCCTGTGTCTCCTCAGCACTTCATTGACCTCTTCAAATTTTAAATACAGCCCTCACACTGTGTCCTCATTGCTGTCTCTGTAAAAGGTTGTACATTGTGCTTTTTTGTGTGCAATAGCTGGTAGTAAATGTTCTTTATGATTAAAAGTAATAACTGGATGGATGACCATGGAGGCATCCTATAAGGCCTCTGTTCTAGAAAGAGTATGAAAAATTGTCCCTCAGCAGATAAAGGATAGGAATGTACTGTTGTATATTTTGATCTCTGAATAGGGTCTGGGGAACCAAGGAAAATAAATAATTTTTACTTCATTTTTTTCCTTTTAAGCATATTAAAATTTACAGTTTTGCGTATTTATAAATATGGTTCAAAATGTTTTTGCATTTTCAGAATTACAGTCTGTGTTGAACTGACACTAATGACCAAAAGTATGCTTCTTAATTGTCAAACTATAGTTTCCCAATTTTGTACTAATTGGGGGCTGGGGCGGGGGGGACAAAACAATTACTCCTTGTAAATACATTATGCAGAATATTTATTTTTCTTAAAATGTATTTTAACAACTGTGTTGCCTGTGTCCAAATGAGTTCTTTCTGAATACAACATGAATATAGGGAAACCTTAGCCATAGTGTGTGTTAATGCTCATCTACTGGATTGTGAATCGTGCATAACGTTTATCACCTAACAGAGATGTGAGTGATATTGCTGTGCTCCTAGGTGCTCAAAAGACAGATGCTGACAACCAGGGACCACTGCTTCTGTAGAAGAGGGTGGGTGGGACCCCACACAGAGGAAATGCATCAACAAAGCATTTGCCAACACTGAGTCATGAAAAGCCCAAATGTATTCTTAACTTTCTTGTATTGAAACTACTTTTATAGACCAATAAATCATGTTTATCTATTGAGTTAACTTTGTTTTGCTTCTTACTGAAAAATGTTAGTGATTTTGATATCATTAATTTAACCTATTAAACAGTTGTTTTCTTTTAAATATAATACACATCCATTTAATTTTTTTTTTGAAAATATAGGTATATAAAAGAAAATATGAAAGGACTTCAAAAAGTTTGTGAAAAAATTCTATTATCTTTCCACTCTATTGTTCCACAGACTATGTGAAGCCCCCTTGTATGTTACTCATAATTCCCCCAGACAAAGATAACTCTGCTTGTTAGAAAGAATATGAAAGATTATCCCTCATCAGTTCTAGGGTAGAAATATATTGCTGTATATTTTGATCTTTGAATATGGTTGGGGAACACAAGCTAAATCATTTTTACTACCTTCAAAAAATGTTTTTCTAATCATTAGAAAAGCAATAAACTAAAATTTTCAATTTTGCATTTTCATCAATATGGTTCAGAAAAGATTTTGGGTTTTCACAATCACATTCTATGCATAACTGACACTGATGACCAAGAATATGTTTCTTAACTGTCAAAGTATAATTTCCTTCCAAGTATAACATAGATACCTAGTGCCTCTATATGCATATATTGGAGAAAGAGATTTTCACAAAACCACAAACATCCTATGTGCCATTGTCATTTTCTAACCAGTCTATTTTTTTTTCGGAAGCTTCTGTCTATATTCTTAAGTATTCTTTGAAAACATGGTTTTTATTGGCTGCATAGTATTACATCACAAAATGGGAACAATCTTTACCATGACAACATTCAGGTAGTTTTTGATTTTTGTTGTTAATATAAGTAACTGTGGTAAGTATTGTTGTGTGTAATGTTTGCACACATGGCTAGCTCCTTAATGAGAACTCCTAGAAGTAGAAACAAAGATAATGTCAAAATTTTTTCTTATTAAAATAAAAGTGTGATAATCTTTTGAAGTGAGGGAATAGAGTGTGCCTTACCTTTGAAGCATAAATATCATTGGCTATTATCATTTCTTTTTCTGTCTGTGCTATTTAACAGGAAAGGGATATGTACTGTATTGTGAGGTTGAACATTTCTTGACCACTTTTTTGGGTTTGTTTCTGTAAATTATTTCCTGTGTGTTGTTTGCCAAGTTTTCTTTTGGGGTGTTGGTATTTTCCATATTAATTTCTTTTTAAAAGGATACTAACCTCATGACATTATAGCTCATTTCTCCAATTTAGTGTCATCTATCTTTTAATTCTGTGTGATAGCATTTTGCTGTGCTATGGAATCATACATGCATGAAGTTGTATAAACTAAGCAATAGTTGCCCAGAAAAAGCAAACAAGAAATAATATTAAGTTTAGGGAAAGGATTCTAGCCATTTCACTCCACTGACTTATTTCCACAGGCAATAACAGATGCAATCAAACCCAAAACAGACATGCAAAACCTAGGAAAGGTGCACAATGGAATGGTTAAGGATTTCCCAACCACTGACTACAGCGTGGGAAGTCACAAAAGTGAGTGTTGAATTGAGAGCACAGCAAAACACAGAATAAAGAGCATATTTAGGCACTGGTAAATTATTTTCAGAAGATCAGATGACAGCAAACAGGGAAAGTGTAATCATCATAAATTTATACATTCCAGTATCTTTTAATCATAATCTGTTAGAGGGTCTGTCAAAAGTTAGAGATTCACTCCCCACTGGATTAAACTATACTTTGATTTTCCATAAAATAGAGATTCAAAACACCAAGACAAAGAGACCAGTCAATAAGCATTTCTGTAGCAGATCAAGGTGTAACTCTTTAATAATGTTGTTATTAGGTGCCAGGGAGTAGGTTCTGACTCAGCACAACAAAAAGAAACACAGCTCAGTCCTGCACCAACCTCACAATCATTGGTACACTTGGGCCCATTGCTAATGCCGCTATGCCAATCCATGTCTTTGGAGGTCTTGTTTTTCACTGACCCTCCACTTACCAAGCATGATGTCCTTCTCCAGGGGATAGTCACTTCTGATAATATCGCTAAAATATGAGAGACAGTTTTGCTATCCTGGTTTGTAAGGAGTATTCTGACTGTACTTCTTCCAGCACAGATTGTTTGTTACTCTTGTAGTCCATGGTAGTTTAATATTCCTCTCAAACACCAAAACTCAAATGCATTAATTCTTCTATGGCCTTCCATATTCATTGTCCAACTTTCACATGCATCTAAGGCTATTGAAAATACCGGAACTTGGGCCAGGCGTCCCTTAGTCCTCAAACTGACATCTTTACCTTTAACACTTTAAAGAGGTTTTGTGCAGCAGATTTGCCTAATGCAATACATCCTTTGGTTTCTTGACGGCTGATTCCATGAATGTTGCTAGTGAATGCAAGCAAAATGAAGTCATTGACAACTTCAATCTTTTTTCCATTTATCATGATGTTATTTATTGGTCCAGTGGTGAGGATTTTTGTTTCTTTTCAGTGAGGTGCAACCCATACTGAAGGTTTGTAGTCTTTGATCTTCATCAGTACGTATTTTAGTCCTTTTCTCTTCCAGCAAGCAAGGTTGTATCATCTGCATATTTCAGGTTGTTAATCAATCTTCCTCCAAACCTGATGCCACATTCTTCGTCATATAATCTAGCTTCTTGGATTATTTGCTCAGCACAGACTGAATAAGTATGGTGAAAGAATATTACTCTGGAGCACACCTTTCCTGATTTTTAAACCATTCAGTGTCCCCTTGTTCTGTTTGAATGACTACCTCTTGGTCTATGTACAGGTTCCTCATTAACACAATTAAGTGTTCGGAATAAAATCAGCTATAATCTGTATTTACATATGTATTATACTGCATGTGCATATTTACTGTACAAAGTTGTATACAGAAACTTTATCTACTTTATGGGATTTTGCCTTATATGCTACATTTAGAGTCAAATCCCATATCTGATTTGTATAGATGATCTTGTGTCTTGGAACCTTCCTGAATTCACTTATTATCTCTTTTTTTTTTAATGGATTCCTTGCGATTTTCAATAGGCAATATCATTTCATCTACATATAGATACTATTTTGCTTCTTTCTAATCTGGATACCCAGAGTCCTGGTGTGGCACTGTAGGATAAATACTGGACTATTAACGACAAGGTTGGCAGTTCAAACCCACAGCTGCTCCTTGGAAACCATACAATGTGGTCAATATGAGTCAGAACCAACTTGAAGGCACTTAACAACAACCTGATTGCCTTTTCTGTTTCTCGCTTAATTGCGTTAGCTAAAAACTCCAACAAAATATTGAATAAAAGTAGCACAGGCAGACTTACATCCTTTTGTTCCTGGTCTAAAGGTCAAAGCTATCAGTCTTTGATCATTAAGTATGATGTTGTTGTCTTAAGTGCCCTAGGGTTGGTTCAGACTCATAGTGACCCTGTGTAGGGTTCAGATGAGTGGCTGTGGAGTTTGAACACAGACCTTGCAGTTCAAGCCAACCTGGTATCTGCAGCACTATACCAGGTCTCTAAGTATGATGTTACCTGTGGGATTTTCATAGATGCCTCTTTACCAGGTTGAATAATTTCTATTGCAACTTTGTTGACTTTTTAATCACAAAAGGGTATTAGATTTTTGTCAAATGCTTTTTCTGTTTCAATGATCGTGTGGTTTTTGTCTTTTATTCTATTAATATGGTATAATACAGTGATTGATTTTATATGTTGAACCACCCTTATATTCCCAAGTTAAATCCCGCTTGGTCATAGAGTACACACTCTTTCTCACATGTTGTTGCATTTCACTTTGTTAGTATTTTGCTGAAGATTTTTGCCCATATACTCAGATGGGATATTGGTGTGTAGTTTTCTTATTATGTCTGTCAGTTCTTGGTATCAGGGTGATAATTTGATCACCTCTTCACCCCACTGATAATGAAGGGAGTCATGCCCTAAGATTCTTGGCATGATTAAACACACAGCACTGAACACTGAACAGATAGAATTGGAAGTAAGTTATTAGTCACATGTACTCACAACGCAGGGGAGGAAGACACTGCACACATGCAGGAACACATGGGGGTTGCACTCGGGACCAGAGTGAACCATCAGAAAAATGGGAGGCAGGCTTTTTAGTAACAAGATGGTGAGGTAACCTCTGGTACCCACAAGAGGAT